CATCTCCAAACAATTCTGTATTAATAAAAACAAACATTTTGGTCGCTTTGTGATCTGAGATAGGTGTGCTCACATTCCACAAGCCCAGCCTCCTCTGCCTCAGTGCATGCACAGGGAATAGTGTAGGATAGCCATAAAATTCCAGTGCAACAAAATGTGTGTGTGTGTGTGTGTGTGTGTGTGTGTGTGTGTGTGTGTGTGTGTGAGAGAGTGTGTGTGAGAGAGTGTGAGAGAGAGAGAGAGGAGAGTGTGAGAGTGAGTGTGTGAGAGAGAGAGTGTGGGAGTGTGAGAGAGAGTGTGAGAGTGTGAGAGGAGTGTGAGAGAGGTGTGAGAGAGAGTGTGAGAGAGAGTGTGAGAGAGAGTGTGAGAGAGAGTGTGAGAGGAGTGTGAGAGGAGGTGTGAGAGAGAGTGTGTGAGAGAGTGTGTGAGAGGTGTGAGAGAGAGTGTGAGAGAGAGTGTGAGAGAGAGAGGTGTGAGAGAGAGGAGTGTGAGAGAGAGAGTGTGAGAGAGAGTGTGAGAGAGAGAGTGTGAGAGAGAGAGTGTGAGAGAGAGTGAGAGAGAGGTGTGAGAGAGAGAGTGTGAGAGGAGAGAGTGTGAGAGAGAGAGTGTGAGAGAGAGAGTGGGGAGAGAGAGTGTGAGAGAGTGTGAGAGAGAGAGTGTGTGAGAGAGAGTGTGAGAGAGAGAGTGTGAGAGAGAGAGTGTGGAGAGAGAGAGTGAGAGAGAGTGTGAGAGAGAGAGTGTGAGAGAGGAGTGTGAGAGAGTGTGAGGTGAGAGGAGTGTGAGAGTGAGAGTGTGAGGTGTGAGAGAGTGTGAGAGAGAGAGAGAGTGTGAGAGAGGAGAGAGAGTGTGAGAGAGTGGAGAGGTGTGAGAGAGTGTGAAGAGAGTGTGAGAGAGTGTGAGAGTGAGAGAGTGATGAGAGAGTGAGAGAGAGTGTGAGAGAGTGTGAGAGAGTGTGAGAGAGTGTGAGGAGTGTGAGAGAGTGTGAGAGAGTGTGAGAGAGTGTGAGAGAGTGTGAGATGAGAGTGTGAGATGAGAGAGTGTGAGAGAGTGTGAGAGAGGTGAGAGGTGTGAGAGAGTGTGAGAGAGTGTGAGAGAGGTGTGAGAGAGTGTGAGAGAGTGTGAGGAGTGTGAGAGAGTGTGAGAGAGTGTGAGGAGAGTGTGAGAGAGTGTGAGAGAGTGTGAGAGAGTGTGAGAGAGTGTGAGAGAGTGTGAGAGAGTGTGAGAGAGTGTGAGAGAGTGTGGAGAGTGTGAGAGAGTGTGAGAGAGTGTGAGAGAGTGTGAGAGAGTGTGAGAGAGTGTGAGAGAGTGTGAGAGTGTGTGAGAGTGTGAGTGTGTGAGAGAGTGTGAGTGTGAGAGAGAGTGTGAGTGTGAGAGAGAGTGTGAGAGAGAGTGTGAGTGTGAGAGAGAGTGTGAGAGAGAGAGTGTGAGAGAGAGAGTGTGAGAGAGTGAGTGATGATGATGGGGTTTATAGGGCCACTTACAGCATGCTTCGCTCTGCCTATCTTTTCCACCCTCAACCTCTGCCAGCATCTGTTCTCCAAGGTAAATATGTACACTTTATAAAACAGGTTTACTTTTTTAAATTCTCTCTTATGTTATGGTTTTATACAATATTTCTTATTTATAAATACATTGTTTTGGTGTCTTCCTTATGAAACTAGTGATCTAGTGCAGTTAGCCTCACAAACACTCTTACAATAAGACTTCAGAAGGGAAAGCATGGGACGATATGTTCAGAGCAGGAGTGGGAATGGCCGCCACCACTTGTCATATAATGACTTATTCTAGAGTATATATCATGTTTCTGTTATTTTTGTTTATTATGTCATATTGGACTAATTGTGATAGGTAAATATGCTGTAGAGTTTTAGTGTTATATATTAGTATTTTGTCCTGCCTCCCGAGAGCAGGAATTCCACTGGAACGGATTAATGGCATTTCAGTTAATTTAAATGAGGAAAATTGATTTGATATACGAGCGAATTGAGTGATGAGGTAGGTCATGGAAAGGATTAAACTTGTAAGTCAAGGTTCCACTCTACATGTCTTGGGTTTAATTTTACTGGAAAACAATAATCCTACATACTCGCAACTTGAGTCTTATTATCCACTTGAAAATTCTCTACTAGTAATAATCTATCACTTATTCTATGCATTTGCTGTATCTTCCACAATGGTCCTCTCTCCACCCTGTCCATATGCTTTTTCTAAATCACTAAATGCAACAAAGTTCCTTATTTTTTCAAAGAATTGATATGTCTCATCCCCTAGTTCTCCGTATCCAACTTTGGCTACGCCGTATCTCTACCAAACATAAAGATATTGTTTTTTGTTGGGTCCCTGGTCATGTCGACGTACAGGGCAATGAACAGGCAGACACTGCTGCGCGGTCAGTAGTACATGACCTACCAATTTCCTATCGAGGTGTTCCATTTCTGGACTATTTTGCTGCAATAGCTACCCACCTTCGCACCCGTTGGCAGCAACGTTGGTCAACTCTGCTCGGTAACAAACTTCATTCTATTAAACCGAGCATAGGTTACTGGCCGTCTTCTTGTCATCAGTGCGAGTTGGGAGACCACCTCTCTCCCGCCTTCGCATTGGCCACACTCGTCTTACTCATGGGTATCTCATGGAGAGGCACCCTGTTCCTCTCTGTGAGCAGTGTCAAGTTCCAGTATCGATTAGCCACATTCTGTTAGACTGCCCTCTCTATCAACGAGCACGCAGAATTTACCTCCAACGTCGTCTTCGTTCTACTACTCTCTCTTTACCTTCCCTTCTTGCTGATGGACCCTCCTTTAATCCTGACTCTCTCATTGACTTCTTGACAACGACTGATTTACTCCACAAACTCTGATGATACTTTTCGCACTCCCCTCAACCCTTTCTAGTTCAGTCTCTTGCTGCCCTTTACCCTTTCACCATCCACTACCCCGCTGTCATCCGTAACCTATTACTCATCCATCTCCCTTTTGCCACCTGATGCCCTCGCTTCCTTCCTGCCCTGCAGCGCTGTATAGTCCTTGTGGCTTAGCGCTTCTTTTTGATTATAATAATAATTCAAAGAATTGTTCACTTATATGGTTCACTGTCAACACTTGGTTTATACATCCCCTACCCTTCCAAGAACAACCTTCTTCCTCTGCATTCCCACTGTCTTAAATTCATTCGTTAATAAAGTAATGTTACCATATACGGTACTTGGTATACTTAACTGGCTTATTCCCCTGTAATTCTTACTCTCTTATCCCCCTTTCCCTTTTACAAAGGAACTATCAGTGCATGCTCACTGCCAGTCCTTGGGTACCATCTCCCCTTTCAGGCATATTATGAACAAATGCATCAACCACTCCAAAACTGTATCCCCACCTGCTCAAAACATTTGTCTTGATCCCAACTTTCATTCTTACCACTTCTTCCCACACCCTCATTTGGCTTTTCCTTACACCTACAAGATGTTATACCTCTGTCCCCTATGCATGAAATCACTGCCTCCTTTTCTTCATTAATATTTAACAACTCTAGTTATTCCCTCCATCTTCCCAGTACCTCCACCTTCCCGTCTAATAACTCACGCCCTTTTATTTTTAACAATTTCATAAATCCCATTGATCTTTTATTGATTGCACATCATAACTTTCTTATCCCTGGCAAAATTTGTTGATAAAACCTCACCCACTCATTCACTCCTTTTTCACTCGCCCTCTTCTCTGTCCTCTGTATATCACTTTTGCATTGCAAAAATTCTCATATGCTTACTTCTTCTCCCTTACCACCCTCTTTACACCAATTGCTCTTTTTTCCTCCAGCACCCACCCTCCTATATTCACAAACTTTTGCTGCCAACTTGAATTCTGCATTCTTTAATTTACTCTCTTCTTTGACTCCCTGTCATTACCTATGCTCTCTCTAGCCCACCTCTCCTTATACTTCTTGCTTATATTGTATCCTTATCTCCTTTAATTTAATGACTTTCACTTCTCTTACCACTGATGACATTCTCTGTGTATCCCATCTATCTCTTACTCTCGTATATGTGTTGCCTCCCTTCTAAACCCATACCCATCCCTAAGTCTGTTCATGAACTTCTTATCTACTAATACATAGTCTCATAAACTGCTGTCATTGAATTGCATCCTATATACAGTACTTATTTATCCTTTATTCTTAAAGTGTGTATTATCTCTTATAAATTCTCTTTGTATACATAGGTCAATTAAAGGTCCCCATCCCCAGGTGCATAAACACTTTCTACAACAAATTTCTTGTATCTCACCTTCAGTCTTGTTTACATAATTCATGAATTTATTCACTTATTTTCCTCCTCCCATAGTTGATCATTTAATATCTGCTCCCGTTCTCTGATACACATGATTTAATCCCATTCACATTACATTGCATAGAAGCATCAGTTTCAGGAATGTAACCCTTGCATTATGTGCATTTCTTCTATACACAAGTCATCTGAGTGTCACCAACTAAGGGGTGTTAGCTCAGACACCATATAACTACAAATACTGGGCCTGGTGTCTTTCACGGAGTAAGCAGAGTTTACAAAATGGCAGATTGTTCAAAATAGTTTGTGGCAAAAATTAGATTTAAATGGCTGAGAATAAATTTCTTATTACATATCTAGTATGTACTTAACATGGTAAAAGGGTTAATTGGTATCAAGCCAGGTTGTATTTTAGTATTTCTTTCTGCATGCCGTTATTAATACTTCACAGTTATGCCTGTTATGATTTGGTTTGTGTATCTTTTGCATAGACTTCATTTGATAAATGCTGGATCATAGATATTAGTTAATTACTTCTATTGTTGAAAATTCTTTACATTCCTTACCATTTCTTCAGAACTTTTAATTATTGGTAGCCAAACAACATTATTGATATGTTTTGTGAATATTCTCAAACAAGTACTGTACATTATTAAATTGGTTTACAGCAGTTAGTTCTTAAAGCCCCATTATTTAAATACACTATTTTTATTTGCAATAGGTCGTGGTCGTAGCAACTGGCGTTCTTCAGCACCAAGTGAACCACCACCCGAGGTTGAACCATTTCCTGCACCCCCAGTGAACGATCAACCATCCAGAGATATGGATTTTTATCAGCAAAATGTAGAGGCAAAAATGGAAGTTGGTAATGAGGTGAGATTTTTCCTTAATGGTGCAAAAGTAATACAGTTCTGTAGTTTCTTAAAATATAATTTTTTTCTATTCTACAAGATACTGTAACTGTCTTCTCACATCTTTGATTTTTTAAAGTTATTGTGGTGTAAATGGCAACCAATGCATTCTCACTCATGAAGTTCTTGCTATATTCCTTACATCTCTAATCCTTAGTTAGGATAGATGACAAATCAATATGTTCTGCAGTGAGCATTCTCTAATAATAAAATATTGATATATTGTCAATGACCTTATTGAATATGTGGTGGTTCTGAAATACAGTATTGATTCATTTGTGCTTTACTTTTCTTTGTCTTCGACCTTATTTAACATTTAAATTGGCCAAATAAATTGTTCAACATTAGTCATTATATATAGAAGGTTTAACAGATAAAGTACTTGCACAAATATTTGTGGATAAGTAAACAATTAATTCAGGTTCTTGTTGGAAGCTTGCCCATTACAGTAATTGTGTGAGCTAGATCTAAATGTAATAGCTATATTGGTTATTTATTGTAAAGTATGTAGTATTTATTTTCAGATATCAAAAATTATGTACAGGAAAGTGAATATAATATTATTAATGTGAATCTTGATCATTTATAGATCTCGTTTTTCGTTAGGTAATTATTGATAATTTCAATTATCCCTTTTTTCTGGTGTAAGGCTTTTCCTGTGCCCAAATTTCTTCTGGTCACTTTTATAAAAGTTAATATTAACCTAAAAAAATTATTCAGTGTCCCCAAAATTAAAACACAGGTTCTTTTGAAAAAATTTGGGTTTAACCCCCTTTGGGGTCTGTCCCTTGTTTTACGGTTTAACCAGAGTCCGGTTGCGTTATATGATGACTCGGGTCATTCACAAACTGTGAGTGGTAATTTGGGCTAGATATGAGGAATGGGTCTGTGGGAGGGGTACACTATAAAAAAAAATCCTGCGATGCAGTGCTAATGAAAAAAACTGAACCCTGTTTTTTTTTCAAAAAGGTTTTTTGTAGGATTTTATGGGTGTATTCACGGTTTTTTTGGGCTCGTTTGATAGAATGGGAAAAATTTGTATTATTTAAATAGAGATGGGTTTTCGTTTGGGTTTTGGACTGAAGATAGCTTGAAACTTGAGCGCAAAGTAGCAGAAATGTTAAATTTTTGCTGGTGTTCAACAGTAATCAAATCACATCATGCATCCAATACACATCAAATGGTGGGTCTAATATGCATTCACAAATGCACTGATATTATCTGTACAATTATTACAATATTGAATAACAGTAAATCTTCTATTTTTTTGGTCTGAATAAAAACTCCAAAATAGAATTAGCGTGTAAAGCCTGGAAACATAACTGAACAGAGGAAATGTTATTTTAACCTTTTCGGGGTCCAGAGGCCAAATTTCAAAGTATGCACCAGGGTCCAAGAAGTTTCAGAATTTTTTTTTTTATTTTTTCTTATGAAATGGTAGAGAATCTTTCTCTGAAGGTAATAAAACAAAAAGTACGAAATTTGATGGAAAATTGATGAAATTATGCTCGCGAATTTTGATGTGTCAGCGATATTTACGCATCGGCGATTTTGCCAACTTTGACTCCCATTTTAGGTAAATTACATTATTCCTTAGCTATTTCACTACATTACTTCTATTCTATCGATTGAGCACAAATTGCCAAGTCAACTGATTCAACTACAAAATAGTGATTGGAAATTGGTAATTTGGCCAATTTAATGCAAAGTTCAAAATAGGGCCCAGAATTAACAATGCAGGCATTCCTGGAGCTAAACTAACATTTCCTCTGTTCAATAGTGATGTTTTTAGTCTACAAATGAATTCCATTTTGATTTTTTATTCACATAATGAATTTTTATTCAAACCAAAAAATAGTAGATTTACTGTTATACAATATTGTAATAATTGTATAAATAATATCAACACATTTTTTTTTTTTTTCAACAAGTCGGCCGTCTCCCACCGAGGCAGGGTGACCCAAAAAAGAAAGAAAATCCCCAAAAAGAAAATACTTTCATCATCATTCAACACTTTCACCTCACTCACATTATCACTGTTTTTGCAGAGGTGCTAAGAATACAACAGTTTAGAAGCATACACATATAAAGATACACATCATATCCCTCCAAACTGCCAATATCCCAAACCCCTCCTTTAAAGTGTAGGCATTGTACTTCCCATTTCCAGGACTCAAGTCCGACTATATGAAAATGACCGGTTTCCCTGAATCCCTTCACTAAATATTACCCTGCTCACACTCCAACAGATCGTCAGGTCCCAAGTACCATTCGTCTTCATTCACTCCTATCTAACACGCTCACGCACGCTTGCTGGAAGTCCAAGCCCCTTGCCCACAAAACCTCCTTTACCCCCTCTCTCCAACCCTTTCGAGGACGACCCCTACCCCGCCTTCCTTTCCCTATAGATTTATATGCTTTCCATGTCATTCTACTTTGATCCATTCTCTCTAAATGACCAAACCATCTCAACAACCCCTCTTCTGCCCTCTGACTAATACTTTTATTAACTCCAGACCTTTTCCTAATTTCCACACTCCGAATTTTCTGCATAATATTTACACCACACATTGCCCTTAGACAGGACATCTCCACTGCCTCCAACCGTCTCCTCGCTGCTGCATTTACCACCCAAGCTTCACATCCATATAAGAGTGTTGGTACTACTATACTTTCATACATTCCCTTCTTTGCCTCCATAGATAACGTTTTTTGACTCCACATATACCTCAACGTACCACTCACCTTTTTTCCCTCATCAATTCTATGATTAACCTCATCATTCATAAATCCATCCGCCGACACGTCAACTCCCAAGTATCTGAAAACATTCACTTCTTCCATACTACTTCTGCATCTTTTGATACATGTCTCCCCAGCACCCTAGCATTCACTTCTTAAAATCCCATATATAAATGGTAAACACACATGATGACAACATGCATCCCTGTCTAAGGCTTAACTTTTACTGGAAAATAATCTCCCTCTCCTACATACTCTAACCTGCACCTACTTTCCTCATACAAACTCGTATCAGAACTATTTCCTACTGACAAGTGGATGTATTTGTAGTGGTGTGGTGTCTATGAAAAGTATTAGCTTGGATGTTAGCATCACAGTGGGGCATGGGATTTTGTTAAGTGACAAAGTTCTGAGTGATGGGATGACCTCCTCCCCATTTACAATCAGGTTGTGCCAGATGATTTTTCAGTTTGATCTGTTTTGGATGGCAAATTTGCGAACAAACATAGTAAAAAAAAAAACCATGTGGAGCAAATAAATGTCTGCTCTGCCTAGTCTTTTTATTATCAGCTTGATCTGAAGCATCCAGATAGTGTGTATGTAACTATATCCTGCTGGAGTAGTTTACCAAAATTTTCAGGTTTAAATCAAGAAGTTCAGCAGTCTTTCTACCTGAAGTGTGTTCTCCCACTTTCTTCCAGCTCATTCTGAACTTGCCTTTCTCTCTACTATTTTCTCATCTTCCTGTCTTCTTTCCTTCTTTTCTTTCCCTCTCATGAGCAGTTTTGCATGTGATGGTGATACCTCAATAAAGGAAATGGAACAGTAGCCAGAAAAGCAGAATTGAAAGAAGCTAGGAACATTTCCTGCATTTCTCACTTTTTTTCTTTCCATGCTCTCTATCCCTTTTCCTTCCATGATTAACAATGTTTAATTTGCAGGTTGATAGTGATGACATAATGCAGGAGGGGGAGCAGCAACCAGAAAACAGGAAAAGACCCTGGGAGAAGCTAGGAGGTAGGGAAGAATTGTTGTTTCAGGCATGTTATCTTGGATATTGTTACATGCCTCCAGGATAAAGGTCTTCTTGAAATGGGGGAAAATGTTACTTTGTCTTGCCGATGAATTGAGATATTTAATATCTTCAAAATATTTAAAAAAAAAAAAATGGTAATGAAATATAAATCTGTCTGAGGCATCAGTAATTTTTCTTTAATATTACTGGGAATGTTTTGTTTACTGTTTTATTATTTAACTTTTAATTTTTGAGGCTTATAACATAATCTTTAATTGTTCTATAGATAGTGTAATGCATCGATTTGGCAGCAGGATGGTTTACCTAAAAGCTGCTATATAGTTTTGTTGCTAATCCTAAATTTTACTTTGTCATTTTAAATTTTGTTGGGCATTTCTAATGGAGATCTTTGAGTTTGCAATTTTTTTTTTTTTTATCCTTCCCCCACCTGTTGTGTTTTTGGACTTTATTGAGAATTCCTCTGTGAATTTATCTGAAGTTAGAATAGTTCATAAATTCAATCACCAGTTAAAATTAGGTGGTGTACCATTCCTGATGGTTCATTCTTATGTGGTCTTCGTTTCTGCTTATTGGACAAGACAAAAAAGTGGAGCTCCACACAAAATGTTGTCTGTATTGAAAGAAACATTCACTGAGCTGCTTAATGTGTAAACAATGTAAAAACCATTAAACGCAAATTTGAAGCAGTTTAAAGATGACATACAGGATAGTAAAATACAAACACAGCCTCACAAACTTTGTAAACCTGGCCTCAAATATCTTGCTTGGCTATTTCAAATTGACATCAATATTAAAAAAAAAAAAAAAAAAAAAAAAAAAAAATTTACTAGGTAGTAGGTTGGTAGACAGCAGCCGCCCAGGGAGGTGCTACCGTCCTGCCAGATGACTGTGAAACAGAAACCTGTAACTGTTTTGCATGATGGTGGGATTGCTGGTTTCTTTTTCTGTCTCATAAACACGCTAAGATAACAGGGATATCTTGCTACTCCTACTTACACTTTGGTCACACTTCACAGACACGCACATGCATATATATATATATATATATACATACATCTAGGTTTTTCTCCTTTTTCTAAATAGCTCTTGTTCTTTTTTATTTCTTCTATTGTCCATGGGGAAGTGAAAGAATCTTTCCTCCGTAAGCCATGCGTGTCGTATGAGGCGACTAAAATGCCGGGAGCAATGGGCTAGTAACCCCTTCTCCTGTATACAATTACTAAAAAGAGAAGAAGAAAAACTTTATAAAACTGGGTTGCTTAAATGTGCATGGATGTAGTGCGGATGACAAGAAACAGATGATTGCTGATGTTATGAATGAAAAGAAGTTGGATGTCCTGGTCCTAAGCGAAACAAAGCTGAAGGGGGTAGGAGAGTTTCAGTGGGGGGAAATAAATGGGATTAAATCTGGAGTATCTGAGAGAGTTAGAGCAAAGGAAGGGTAGCAGTAATGTTAAATGATCAGTTATGGAAGGAGAAAAGAGAATATGAATGTGTAAATTCAAGAAATATGTGGATTAAAGTAAAGGTTGGATGCGAGAAGTGGGTCATAATAAGCGTGTATGCACCTGGAGAAGAGAGGAATGCAGAGGAGAGAGAGAGATTTTGGGAGATGTTAAGTGAATGTATAGGAGCCTTTGAAACCAAGTGAGAGAGTAATTGTGGTGGGGGACTTGAATGCTAAAGTAGGAGAAACTTTTAGAGAGGGTGTGGTAGGTAAGTTTGGGGTGCCAGGTGTAAATGATAAGGGGAGCCCTTTGATTGAACTTGTATAGAAAGGGGTTTAGTTATAGGTAATACATATTTTAAGAAAAAAGAGGATAAATAAGTATACACGATATGATGTAGGGCGAAATGACAGTAGTTTGTTGGATTATGTATTGGTAGATAAAAGACTGTTGAGTAGACTTCAGGATGTACATGTTTATAGAGGGGCCACAGATATATCAGATCACTTTTTTAGTTGTAGCTACACTGAGAGTAAAAGGTAGATGGGATACAAGGAGAATAGAAGCATCAGGGGAAAAGAGAGGTGAAGGTTTATAAACTAAAAGAGGAGGCAGTTAGGGTAAGATATAAACAGCTATTGGAGGATAGATGGCTAATGAGAGCATAGGCAATGGGGTCGAAGAGGTATGGGGTAGGTTTAAAAATGTAGTGTTAGTGTTCAGCAGAAGTTTGTGGTTACAGGAAAGTGGGTGCAGGAGGGAAGAGGAGCGATTGGTGGAATGATGATGTAAAGAGAGTAGTAAGGGAGAAAAAGTTAGCATATGAGAAGTTTTTACGAAGTAGAAGTGATGCAAGGAGGGAAGAGTATATGGAGAAAAAGAGAGAAGTTAAGAGAGTGGTGAAGCAATGTAAAAGAGAGCAAATGAGAGAGTGGGTGAGATGTTATCAACAAATTTTGTTGAAAATAAGAAAAAGTTTTGGAGTGAGATTAACAAGTTAAGAAAGCCTAGAGAACAAATGGATTTGTCAGTTAAAAATAGGAGAGGAGAGTTATTAAATGGAGAGTTAGAGGTATTGGGAAGATGGAAGGAATATTTTGAGGAATTGTTAAATGTTGATGAAGATAGGGAAGCTGTGATTTCGTGTATAGGGCAAGGAGGAATAACATCTTGTAGGAGTGAGGAAGAGCCAGTTGTGAGTGTGGGGGAAGTTCGTGAGGCAGTAGGTAAAATGAAAGGGGGTAAGGCAGCCGGGATTGATGGGATAAAGATAGAAATGTTAAAAGCAGGTGGGGATATAGTTTTGGAGTGGTTGGTGCAATTATTTAATAAATGTATGGAAGAGGGTAAGGTACCTAGGATTGGCAGAGAGCATGCATAGTTCCTTTGTATAAAGGCAAAGGGGATAAAAGAGAGTGCAAAAATTATAGGGGGATAAGTCTGTTGAGTGTACCTGGTAAAGTGTATGGTAGAGTTATAATTGAAAGAATTAAAGTAAGACGGAGAATAGGATAGCAGATGAACAAGGAGGCTTTAGGAAAGGTAGGGGTGTGTGGACCAGGTGTTTACAGTGAAACATATAAGTGAACAGTATTTAGATAAGGCTAAAGAGGTCTTTGTGGCATTTATGGATTTGGAAAAGGCGTATGACAGGGTGGATAGGGGGGGAATGTGGCAGATGTTGCAAGTGTATGGTGTAGGAGGTAGGTTACTGAAAGCAGTGAAGAGTTTTTACGAGGATAGTGAGGCTCAAGTTAGAGTATGTAGGAAAGAGGGAAATTTTTTCCCAGTAAAAGTAGGCCTTAGACAAGGATGTGTGATGTCACCGTGGTTGTTTAATATATTTATAGATGGGGTTGTAAGAGAAGTAAATGCGAGGGTCTTGGCAAGAGGCGTGGAGTTAAAAGATAAAGAATCACACACAAAGTGGGAGTTGTCACAGCTGCTCTTTGCTGATGACACTGCTCTTGGGAGATTCTGAAGAGAAGTTGCAGAGATTGGTGGATGAATTTGGTAGGGTGTGCAAAAGAAGAAAATTAAAGGTGAATACAGGAAAGAGTAAGGTTATGAGGATAACAAAAAGATTAGGTGATGAAAGATTGAATATCAGATTGGAGGGAGAGAGTATGGAGGAGGTGAACGTATTCAGATATTTGGGAGGTGGACGGTGTCAGCGGATGGGTCTATGAAAGATGAGGTGAATCATAGAATTGATGAGGGAAAAAGAGTGAGTGGTGCACTTAGGAGTCTGTGGAGACAAAGAACTTTGTCCTTGGAGGCAAAGAGGGGAATGTATGAGAGTATAGTTTTACCAACGCTCTTATATGGGTGTGAAGCGTGGGTGATGAATGTTGCAGCGAGAAGAAGGCTGGAGGCAGTGGAGATGTCATGTCTGAGGGCAATGTGTGGTGTGAATATAATGCAGAGAATTCGTAGTTTGGAAGTTAGGAGGAGGTGCGGGATTACCAAAACTGTTGTCCAGAGGCTGAGGAAGGGTTGTTGAGGTGGTTCGGACATGTAGAGAGAATGGAGCGAAACAGAATGACTTCAAGAGTGTATCAGTCTGTAGTGGAAGGAAGGCGGGGTAGGGGTCGGCCTAGGAAGGGTTGGAGGGAGGGGGTAAAGGAGGTTTTGTGTGCGAGGGGCTTGGACTTCCAGCAGGCATGCGTGAGCGTGTTTGATAGGAGTGAATGGAGAACAAATGGTTTTTTAATACTTGACGTGCTGTTGGAGTGTGAGCAAAGTAACATTTATGAAGGGATTCAGGGAAAACCGGCAGCCGGACTTGAGTCCTGGAGATGGGAAGTACAGTGCCTGCACTCTGAAGGAGGGGTGTTAATGTTGCAGTTTAAAAACTGTAGTGTAAAGCACCCTTCTGGCAAGACAGTGATGGAGTGAATGATGGTGAAAGTTTTTCTTTTTCGGGCCACCCTGCCTTGGTGGGAATCGGCCGGTGTGATAATAAAAAAAAAAAAAATAATAATAAAAAATTTAGCAAATGCAGCAATACATGTACTTGAAAAAGTTCCAGAAGGAAATCTGGACAAATATTTATGTAAAAATAAACTATCAAGACTGACAATTTTGCCTTAACCCATCAAGTAACACAAGTGATCAGACTGGAGAACACCCTTAGCATTATATTCACAAGTAACTCTGATATGGAGCCGTGTTGAATGCTGATTTAGCTCAACCTGCTGTAATTAAAGTTTAGGCATGCATAGACATACTTTAACTGGTCAAAATGATTCTTGTGTGTGTTTTCAACCAGTTCAGTGTCAGCAACAAACATTAACTGGGAATAAATGCATAATGGCTTTAATGAAAGTTGCTAGGAAGTGGACAAAATTAACATGAATTAAAATCAGTGCCTCGAGGAAATACGGGCACTGGAAGTACACTCCAGACTCATGTTTAGAAAAGAAAATGGACAGTATTGCAAGAAATAGGTTCCATACTTGTATTACAAAAGAAAAGGCAAGTTGGAAGGTTTTAGGAAGTTATTTACATAACTTCTCTTCATGGTGAACATAGGCTCCCAATTATCAAGTGAAAGTCATTCCTGTGCTAGTGCAGGCACATGTGACAGAAGTTGGACTGCCTCCCTTCATTTCTGTTTCACTTGCCCATCATATATGATACAGCACAACACGTGCTTTCTACCCTCTCACTAGTACTGTGAGGGTATGCATTCAGTTTTGTGTTATGATTAGACTTGCACCCGAGTGGCACATGCTGACTCATGTACAAGACATGACTGTCTCCATTGTCTGAGAGCCCAGTCTCTTTTCAAACAAATGAGAGCATAGAGAGAATGTCAGTTTATGCATGTAGTGAAAAAATAATAGAATAAATATATTTATACAGCTTGAACAGTTGTAATGTTTAAATCTGTAGTTCTTTACCAATCTCTGCCAAAGAAAATTGAGCATTCAGAACATTCATGAAGGAATAAGTTACAAAATATCAATGCATTTGGTGAAAAGCAACTGAGAAGAAATCTTTTGTTTGCAATGTTTGTATCTGCAGATTGATCATAAAAAATTATTGGTTTCAAAGTGTTTCATTTGTAAGTGTGGATATTTGTAAGTCGGGGAGCTGATTACATCTGTTTAAAATTTAGGAAGTGTGAATGCCAGAAAGAGGGCAAACCAAGTAGAACTAACGAGAATAAAACTGAGGAGGCTCCTGATGGAATTTGTCACATGTAAAGTACAGGAAAGTGGTGCTGCAAGGAGGAGCTGAAGTCAGTGCAAGTCACTAGGAAAAGGCTGTTGACAGGTGCCTGGAAGATGGCAGGCCTGATGCAATTCTTCAAAAGTGGCAATATGTACGAAACTCTGAGCTATAGACCAGCTTCCCCTAGTAAGCTTCCTGTAAAAACAAATGGAAAGGATTAAATAAAAAAAAATTCCTTGAAAGCACAAAGTTCCTAAAATTGTATAGTGCACTAACTTAATCAGGAATGGAAAATAGATCAGATAATGAGAAGATGGGTGAATGGCATATCTTGATGGGTGAAGGCAGTGGTTCCCAAAATTATGGCCCCACCTGGAAAAAAAAAAAACCTTATTAATCATGGCGAGATTTTTAAGACTAGAAAATTGGGTGAAGTCTAGTTATTGTATATGAAAACAGTATATTTTATGAAAGCAATATAATTACCTGAGATTGATAAAATAGCCACATATATTTGTTAAAATGTTCATTGTTTTGATCCATTCATCACTTAACATGCTTAATGAAATGGTTGATACTTTTTTTTTTTTCATTACCAACTTTTTAGTCCATGAAGATGTTTTGGACACAACACGATGGGAAGGAACAGCATGGAGTCTGGTTCTTAGCCGAGATGAGAAGGCACTCTCTAATAGTAGTGGGATGATACCTATTTTTTTCCCATAGCAGTATTCGATTTTAGGGTGATAATACATACCATCAAGATTTTCTTACACCCACCATTACCATTGAAATTAGCCAGTACTCACTGATACTGATGCTTAATTTTAGGCTGACACTGAGACTCGAAATTTACTAATAACCACCGATACTGCTCCACCCCTAATCTTGCATGTATATGCTGATTGGAAAGGAATGAAGATTGACTATTTCAGACAATATTGAGTATTTGGGTAACTCCTTAATTCAAAATTTTAGCAGTATCAAGGATGCCTCCTCTTTTTTTTTTTTTTTTTTTTTTTTTTAAATTCTTGGCACAGCCACTGTGACTCAAGTTTATTAATTCTCTCTTTTGTGACTCAAAATCTCAAGACACTTGCAAACAACAAATTTGGCTTGGCGGTTTTCGGTAACATTTCAACAAGGGGGAACAAGCTTGTTTAAAATCCACCTTCCATGAAATAAGTAATAAAATTGTATTGTAAAATATACCTGGATGAGAGACTAGGGATACTTCCTCTCTGTTGTCTTATTGTGATCAAACCATTGTGGGTGTAGTTTGTGCATTGCACATGTCTGAGTGTAGTTTGTGTGGTGTGCATGTGGGTGTGTAGTTTGTGGTGCACATGTGTGGGTGTGTCGTTTGTGTGGGGGCACGTGTGGGTGTGTAGTTTGTGTGGTGCACGTGTGTGGTGCACTGTGTGTGTGTGTGTGGTGTACGTGTGTGTGTGTGGGGTGCACGTGTGTGTGTGTGTGTACGTGTGTGTGTGTGGTGCACGTGTGTGTGTGTGTGTGGTGCACGTGTGTGTGTGGTGCACGTGTGCGTGTGGTGCACGTGTGCGTGTGGTGCACGTGTGCGTGTGGTGCACGTGTGCGTGTGGTGCACGTGTGCGTGTGGTGCACGTGTGCGTGTGGTGCACGTGTACGTGTGGTGCACGTGTGCGTGTGTGGTGCACGTGTGCGTGTGGTGCACGTGTGTGGGGTGCATGTGTGCGTGTGTGGTGCATGTGTGTGTGGTGCACGTGTGCGTGTGTGGTGCACGTGTGTGTGTGTGAGTAATGTCATTTTTCTGGGCTTGCATCATTTAAGCAACAATTTTCCAAAGAGATGCTTTCATTAATAGGGGATACTCTTTAATTGAAAAATGATTAGCATGATATTTACTGGTGATCTTTTTTGTTTTGACAGCGGGCTAGTTTGATGGCCGCGCAAGGTCATCTTTGGTCCCATGACCTGTTATGTCTCCTCACGACACTAGTTAATTGTAGCACTCCAGAAAGCCAGCGGGGGATTCTGTTGTAATGCTTTGCTTTTAGCAAAGTTATATGTAGGTTTGTTTGTCTTCAGGCATAAAATGGTATTTATAACAAGAGGTCCCTCGTTGGCTGCCATGCATGAGGCTGGGTGCGTACGTAACAGTCGTAGAGACATTTTCAGAGACTTTTAATTGAAGCGAGTTGCCCACACTTGTCATGGATGTCTGACTGAGGTGGGAAGTACGCCAGGTACTGAATCCTACCCAGTCATTCCACCTAAATTTATTGTGACAATCTGGCATGCAAATCTGATCACAAAGTGGGGAGATACTTTATGCCCAATGGCCTTAACTTTGCTTAAAGATCTGAACTTGGTATCTTGTATTCACTTGCAAGCTAAGGCAGGTTGTTTTTCATGTCAATGGCAAGTGTGTTGTGACCTTTCAATTAATATGTGGTGGCAGGCGTCAAGATCAAGAGAAAGAAGGTGCCAGGAGCCAAGAATCTTAAGATCCGGAAATATGTGCGGCCTAAGAATGCAGTAATGTGCCTCAACGAACTTCGGCCTGGAGTGACGTATACTACTGAACAGGAGGGAGGAGTTGGTCAACCATTCTGTATATCTGTAGAGGTATCTAATGGGGTATGGCAAGTAATGGCCTAATATCAAGGATATAGGCTATTTAATATTTTTTCTATTTTTTTATTAATGTGAGTATGTGAAAATGAATGAATGATTTCCTTCTCCTACATACCCTAACCTGAGCCTCACTATCCTCATAAAAACTCTTAACAGCATTCTACAGCCTCATACCTACTGCATACACACACACTATCTGTGAGAAGGGGGAGGGGGCCGACGTATACACACACACACATACATGCACGTGCACACATCCCTGCATACCTGCACATGTACTCGTGCAGTTGCACACACACGTACATGCACCATCATGTGTACTCGTACATATTCACACAAACATACATGTACTCATGTGCACAATTACACATATATAATAGACTTGCATGACTCACGAAATCGTAATGACACGATTGCAAACAATTACATGCACATACGCTCACAAACACTCCTTGCTTGTTGCAGTTCACAGGTTCCAACTTAATGCTTTACATGCCCATACACAGATGCCTACACACAGATACCCATACACAGATACCCATACACAGATACCCATACACAGATGCCCATCCACAGATGCCCATCCACAGATGCCCATCCACAGATGCCCATCCACAGATGCCCATCCACAGATGCCCATCCACATACACATGTACATCACATACACATATATATACATATACATGTACATATACATACATGTACATATACACTTGAACATATACCACAAATGTTTTTTGTCGACCTTACGAGCTGTTGGAGTTTGAGCAGTGTTATATTGTGTGATGGGGTTCAGGGAAACCAGTTAGCTAGACTTGAGTCCTGGAAGTGGGAAGTACAGTGCCTGCACTCTCAAGGAGGGATTGGGATATTGGCTGTTTGTAGTGATAGCTGAACTATCATATTGGGGCACCTCTGCAGACAGTGATTGTGTGAATGATGGTGAAAGTGGTGTCTGTTTTTGGCCACCCTGCCTCGGTGGGAGATGTTTGACGTGTTAAAAAATGTATATGTATATGGGGGGGGAATGTTAAATAAGGAGAGAGGGGTATCAAGAACTTACTGAATGTATGTAGTTGATTAATTGTGAGTTGGAATTTAATGTTTGAACCAAGCAATGATGTCTACTATGAAGCAGAGCTGGTGGGTGATACTCAAAGCATTTAAGAAAGTGTTAAGAAAATTGGAAATAGGGAAAAAGCAGCAGCAGTGGTGGGTGGAATCAAGACATGCTAAAACACGTAAAGAAAGTTAAAATGGTTGGAGCTTATGTTCAGTATGGGAATAAAAGATAAAATTACTAAGTATTTCTAGGGGATGTGTGGATCATTAATGAGTGAGAAGAGGAAAAAGAAAAAAAAAGAATTATAGGTAATAAATTGTCAGTATGAAGTTTAGTGTATGATAGTTGTTTGGTAGTGAGTAGGTTACCTTAAATTATGAGAAATTTCTAGTTGTAAATTGTAGTTACTGGAGAGTATTACAAATGTATGGAATGTTTTTTTTTTTATGGCATAACCCTATATGAGTGGAAACCCACTAAAGATTGAGAAAATTTCAAGCTAGATATGGTACAATCTGAAGATGAGTAGTGTACGTATATTTTAGCTGCATTCTAGGACCTTTTAACAAATGGGAAAGTGAATGTCAGATCGGACGGACAGAGTAAAGGAAATGAGTATACTTAGTGTGGAGGTGTATTGGCAGATGGGTTTATGAATGAGAAAGTGAATCAGAACAGTCATGGGATGAAGGGTAGTAGTTGTGAAGAATGTGAGGGGGGGGGGGAATGCTTACCAGTGGATGCCAAATAATAAAGTGGAATATCTGGGGTATAATGATGAGGCATAGTCCTTGAATGTTGCAACAAGGAGGCTGGAGGTGTAGGTCTCTCATTTGATATCAGTGAGTGGTGTGAATATTATGCACAGGGAAAAACCAAAGATGTTTAAAAATAGTGTGATGCCATAATTTAGAGTGAAGGAGGGATTGCTGAGATGGTTTGGCCATTTAGAAAGGATCTGTTGACCAAAAAGGTGAGAGGGGTAGATAATGTCCCTGGAAGAGTTGGAGGGAGGGGGTGAAAGGTGAAAATAAAAGGTTATGAATGGTAGAGGCTAAAGCCTCTAGTAAGCATGTATGAACTTGTTAGATTGGAATAAGAAGAGACAACTGGTTTGGGGGATTATACATATTAGAGAGATTTGGGGAACCAAATCTCTCTCTCGGGGAGTTTTGGGGAAACCAGTTATTCAAACTTTAGTTATAGGAGGATGATGTACAGTATGGTGCCTGCACTGCAATATCCGTGATATTTCAGTTCACTGGATCATATGAATTGAGTTGTCCATGCACTTAAGGAAAGACAGCTAGGGAATGTGTGTTGAATGTATTTTCCTTGTTATTGTGTCATCCTACCTTGGTAAGAAATGGTTAGTTAAAATATATGCTGTTTATTTTAGTGTATATTTGTTAATACTTCTGACAGCCTAATAATTAATCTTATTAAATATGATGTAATGCTCATTAAATAGTTTATGAAAAATCTAATGATACACTATTAAGCTACAAGGTAATGCTCTTTAAATAGTCTAGATTAAATAAAATATTTTACTACTTTGTAGGTTGACGCTCAGAAATACAGAGGCTTTGGCTCATCCAAACAATTGGCAAAACAAGCAGCAGCAGAAGCAGCATTGATAAGTTTCGTGAAACCACCTATCACCTCTGTCTCCCCTGAGAGTCAAGCAGAAGATAAAACCCCATGGGCTACTCTTGCATCATTTGCTATATATAAACTGTTTAATGACTGGCGTGAAGGTAGAGTCGGCATGTGTCCTCCACCTCCTCAGCCTTATGCCACTGCAGTTCCTCCTGGTAAGAGTGAATCTAGTCCAGTTAGCTCTTGCTATATGGGATCATTTTTTTTTTTTTTTTGCATCTTTCATATAAATTTTATGTATCATTGATATTTGTAATTTACATGTAGGTATTAAATTTGTTATACATCCAGTAGGGCCCCAATTATACAGCAAGTTAGGTTCTAGGCTACTGCCGTAAAGTGGAACTTTTTTTTTTTAAATGCTAGATAACAGATGTATACTGACATATATTGTTATCAATATAACTAGCACTAAAAAATGCAGAAAGAAAAATACACACACAGTACATTTGTTACCATAAAATATTAACCCTTTGACTGTTTCAGTCGTATATACATGTATACGTCTTACGAGCCACCGTGTTTGATGTATGTACACTCATAAATTCTAGCGGCTTCAAATCAAGCAGGAGAAAGGTGGTAGGCCCACATGTGAAAGAATGGGTCTGTGTTGTCAGTGTGCACCATATAAAAAATCCTGCAGCACGCAGTGCATATTGAGAAAAAAAAAATCCTACTTTTTTTAATTAAAATGCCGACTTTGTGGTCTATTTTTGTATAGTATTTATGGTTGTATTCTCGTTTTCTTGGTCTCATTTGATAGAATTGATTTTGATTGGTTTTACTGTAAAAAGAACCTGGAAATGGAGCTGAAATTAGGGGAAATGTTTGATTTTTGCCGATGTTCAGAAGTAAACAAATGTCATTTTCCAATAAATGTCCAACTAGCCATTCTAATATGCAGTCATGAATGGGTTGACATTACTTATACAGTTATTACAATACTGCAGTAGTCTGCATAACAGTAAATCTATTTTTTGTTTGAATAAAAATTCAAAATAGAAGAAAGAGTAATATCAGAGGGACCTGGAGATGTGACTGATGAACAGAGAAAATGTTATTTTAGAGCCAGGAATGTCTGCATTGTTCATTCTGGACCCTATTTCAAATTGTCATATTTTTTAATTTTCGAGAAACTGTCCAAATTGCAAATTTCTGACCATGTTATTGGGTAGTTGAAATTAGTAAATTGGCAGTTTCTTGTACTCAGTCGATAGAAAAAATGGGGTTCTAAAGAAATAGCTATGAGTTTGGTCAACTGGAACAACGGAATTAACCAAGAATAGGACTCAAATGGGCGAAATCGCAGATTCGTAAATATCGCCGAGGTCGTTAACTTAGCGAGAACGTTATTCTGTAAGTTTTCCATCAAATTTCATACTTTTGGTGTCATTACCATCGGGAAATGATTCTCTATCATTTCATAAGAAAAAATAATTATTTTTTTTTTTTTTTAATTTTTGTGACACCAGGAGAGACCTCAGGATTTAGGGGTTGCGACAGTCAAGGGGTTAATGTGGATGTGTGAAAGGTGAGTGGCAGTGTAAAAGTTTTTCCATGTCAGCAATAAGTCACTTTGACTTTTTTGGGTTATCCTAGGTTCTCTACACACATGCTGCTATATGTAACTATTTGATGCCTATCTCAGCCATTGACATACCTTGTTAGTAAGATTATTCAGGTATACACAAATAGTTACATAGATTATCATGTTTAACAGCATGTGTGTAGAATACCTAAGCTAACCCAAAAGAGTCAGTTTATTAAGTTTAATCATTTTTAACTTTGCACTTAAAGTAAGAGGCTTAACCCTTTCAGGGTCCACAGGCCCTCTCAAGGTACCTTTCATTGTAAAACCAGTCAAAATCATCTCTATTTCTGTAATGTGTGTTCCATTCTATACAATGAGACCAGGAAAACTAGAATACAACAATAAATACCATACGAAAATATAGTGCAAAGTAGGTAGGTGAAGTATAAGCAACTATTGGCAGAAAGGTGAGCTGGTGCAGGTATGAGTAGTGGGGGGGTTGAAGAGGGTTGGAATAGTTTTAAAAATGCAGTATTAGGTAGTAGGTTGGTAGACAGCAACCACACAGGGAGGTACTACCGTCCTGCCAAGTGAGTGGAAAATGAAAGTCTAATTGTTGTACATGATGGTAGGATTGCTGGTGTCCCTTTTTCTGTCTCATAAACATGCAAGATTTCAGGTACATCTTGCTACTTCTACTTACACTTAGGCCACACTACACATACATGTACAAGCATATATATACATACCCCTCTAGGTTTTCTTTATTTTCTTTCTGGTTCTTGTTCTTGTTTATTTTCTCTTATCTCCATGGGGAAGTGGAACAGAATTCTTCCTCCGTAAGCCATGTGTGTTGTAAGAGGCGACTAAAATGCTGGGAGCAAGGGGCTAGTAACCCCTTCTCCTGTATATATTACTAAATTTAAAAGGAGAAACTTTCGTTTGTCCTTTTGGGCCACCCCACCTCAGTGGGATACGGCTAGTGCGTTGAAAGAAAGAAGAAAAAATTTTTTGAGTAAGTTAAACAAGTTAAGAAGGCTTGGGAACAAATGGATTTGTCAGTTAAAAACAGAGTAGGGGGAGTGAGTAGATGGGGAGATGGAGGTTTTGGGTAGATGGTGAGAATATTTTGAGGAAATATTAAATGTCGACGAAGAAAGGGAGGCAGTAATTTCATGCACTGGCCAGGGAGGTGTACCATCTTTTAGGAGTGAAGAAGAGCAGAATGTGAGTGCAGGGGAGGTGCGTGAGGCATTACGTAGAATGAAAGGGGGTAAAGCTGCTGGAACTGATGGGATCATGACAGAAATGTTGAAAGCAGGGGGGGATATAGTGTTGGAGTGGTTGGTATTTTTGTTTAATGTATGAAAGATGGGAAGGTACCTAGGGATTGGCGGAGAGCGTGTATAGTCCCTTTATATAAAGGGAAGGGGGACGAGAGAGATTGTAAAAATTATAGAGGAAAAAGTTTACCGAGTATACCAGGAAAAGTGTACGGTAGGGTTATTATTGAAAGAATTAGAGATAAGACAGAATGTAGTATTGCGGATGAACAAGGAGGTTTTAGAGTGGGTAGGGGATGTGTAGATCGTGTTTACATTGAAGCATACATGTGAACAGTATTTAGATAGTTTTTATTGCATTTATGGATTTAGAAAATGCATATGATAGTGGATAGGGAAGTAATGTGGCAGATGTTGCAAGTATATGGAATAGGTGGTAAGTTACTAAATGCTGTAAAGAGTTTTTATGGGGATAGTGAGGCTCAGGTTAGGGTGTGTAGAAGAGAGGGAGACTAGTTCCTGGTAAAAGTAGGTCTTAGACAGGGATGTGTAATGTCACCATGGTTGTTTAATATATTTATAGATGGGGTTGTAAAAGAAGTAAATGCTAGGGTGTTCGGGAGAGGGGTGGGATTAAATTATGGGGAATTAAATATAAAATGGGAAGTGACAGTTACTTTTTGCTGCTGATACTGTGCTTATGGGAGATTCTAAAGAAAAATTGCAAAGGTTAGTGGATGAATTTGGGAGTGTGTAAAGGTAGAAAGTTGAAAGTGAACATAGAAAAGAGTAAGGTGATGAGAGTATCAAATGATTTAGATAAAGAAAAATTGGATATCAAATTGGGAGGAGGAGTATGGAAGAAGTGAATGTTTTCAGATATTTGGGAGTTGACCTGTCTGGATGGATTTGTGAAGGATGAGGTTAATCATAGAATTGATGAAGGAAAAAAGGTGAGTGGTGCATTGAGGTATATGTAGAGGCAAAAAATGTTATCTGTGGAGGCAAAGAAGGGAATGTATGAAAGTATAGTAATACCAACACACTTATATGGGTGTGAAGCTTGGGTTGTAAATGCTGCAGCGAGGAAGCGGTTGGAGGAAGTGGAGATGTCCTGTTTAAGGGCAGTGTGTGGTGTAAATATTATGCAGAAAATATGGAGTGTGGAAATTAGGAGAAGGTGTGGAGTTAATAAAAGTATTAGTCAGAGGGCAGAAGAGGGGTTGTTGAGGTGGTTTGGTCATTTAGAGAGAATGGATCAAAGTAGAATGACATGGAAAGCATATAAATCTATAGGGGAAGGAAGGCGGGGTAGGGGTCGTCCTCGAAAGGGTTGGAGAGAGGGGGTAAAGGAGGTTTTGTGGGCAAGGGGCTTGGACTTCCAGCAAGCGTGCGTGAGCGTGTTAGATAGGAGTGAATGGAGACGAATGGTACTTGGGACCTGACGAGCTGTTGGAGTGTGAGCAGGGTAATATTTAGTGAAGGGATTCAGGGAAACCGGTTATTTTCATATAGTCGGACTTGAGTCCTGGAAATGGGAAGTACAATGCTGCACTTTAAAGGAGGGGTTTGGATATTGGCAGTTTGGAGGGATATGTTGTGTATCTTCATATGTGTATGCTTCTAGACTGTTGTATTCTGAGCACCTCTGCAAAAACAGTGATAATGTGCGAGTGTGGTGAAAGTGTTGAATGATGATGAAAGTATTTTCTTTTGGGGATTTTCTTTCTTTTTTGGGTCACCCTGCCTCGGTGGGAGACGGCCGACTTGTTGAAAAAAAAAAAAAAAAAAAAAAAATATATATATATATATATAAATATATATATATATAAATATATATAATATATATAAATAATATATATATATAAAATATATATATATATAAATATATATATATATAAAATATATATATATAAAAATATATATATATATATAAATATATATATATATAAATATATATATATATATAATATATATAATATAAAATATATATATATATATATATATATATATATATATATATATATATATATATATATATATATATATATATATATATATATATATATATATATATATATATTTTTTTCCCTCCATGAATTTTTGAAAATGAATCCTAACAGCAATTATTCCTGCTTACTAGTAATTGTAAACAATTAGGAAACATACTCTCCCAGATCTGGCGCTACACTGCTTTACATTTTGACTCCTCACTTCGCTTGGGGAAGAGTTAGGTTACCCGAGGATGATAGTTCCACCGTTGGCTCACTGCTGAGTTAACATTGATTAGGCTTTGCAGAGTCCAAGTAAGCTCCATCTGTAAATATTCCCTATCTAGTTAATATTGATGAGCTCTTAAACTGTGTCTGATGTACTAATATGCAGGTGCTGTGAGTGTCTGATGTACTGCTGCAAAACTTAGTGGATGAGTTTGGGAGGGTGTGTAAAGGTAGAAAGTTGAAAGTGAATATAGATTAATGTGATGAGCGTATCAAACAATTTAGAAAGAAAAATTGGATGTCACATTGGAGGGTGGGAGTATGGAAGAAGTGAATGCTTTCAGATATTTGGGAGTTGACTTGTCAGTGGATTGGTTTATGAAGGATGAGGTAAACCATAGAATTGATGAAAGAAAAAAGGTGAGTGGTGCATTGAGATATTTGTGAAGACAAAGAACATTATCCATGGAGGCAAAGAAGGGAGTGTATGAGAATATAGTGGTACCAGCACTCTTATATGGGTGTAAAGCATGGGTTGTAAATGCTGCAGTGAGGAGGAGGATGTGGTGTAATATGTGGTGCAGTGTGTGGTGTAAATATTATGCAGAGAATTCGTAGTGTTAAAATTAGGAGGTGTGGAGTTACTGAAATTATTAGTCAGAGGGCTGAAGAGGGGTTGAGGTGGTTTGGTTATTTAGAGAGAATGGATCAAAGTAGAATGACATGGAGAATGTATAAATCTGTAGTGGAAGGAAGGCGGGGTAGGGGTTGTCCGTGAAAAGGTTGGAGGGAGGGGGTAAAGGAAGTTTTGTGGGTGAGGGGCTTGGACTTTCAGCAAGTGTGCGTGGCTGTGTTAGATAGGAGTGATTGAGACGAATGGTTTTTGGGACCTGACGAGCTGTTGGAGTGTGAGCAACGTAATACAGTGGTACCTTGACTTAAGAGTGCCCCAACTTATGAGTTTTCTGAGTTACGAGCTGTTGTTAGGTCGATTTTTTGCTTTGAGTTGCAAGCCAAATTCCGAGTTACTACCAAGCTTAAGATACTCCGCCACTAGTTGGCGGTGTATCTGAAATCAAATCCAACTCTGTACTTAGAGGAATGTCAGGTATTTCGTCCTATCCCACAAGCTCTTCAAAGACATAACTGGAAGAATAATACTCTCACACTAATCCCAGATTGTAGTGAGGCACTTCATCCCTTGTTTGGTTTTTCCAGAAACATTAAGGTGGGTGGAGTAGTTATGGTGGTAAATGGAGTAGTGATAGCGGTGGGTAGAGTTGTCGTAGTGGTGGGTGTAGTAGTGAGGATGGTAGATGTAGTAGAGATAGTGGTGGGTGGAGTAGTGTAGGTGGTGGGTGAAGTAGTGAGATTGGTAGATGTAGTAGAGATGGTGGTGGGTGGAGTATACAATATTTATTATTTATAAATACATTTTTCTTATTTAAAAACCCATAACTAAGAAATTGGGGAGTTTTTTGGAGGGCTGGAACGAATTAATGGCATTTCAATTAATTTCAATGAGGAAAATTGATTTGATATACGTACATGTACGACCAAATTGAGTTACGAGCTTGGTCACAGAATGAATTAAACTCGTAAGTCAAGGTACCACTGTATTTAGTGAAGGATTCAGGGAAACCGGTTATTTTTATATAGCCAGACTTGAGTACTGGAAGTGGGAAGTAGAATGCCTGCAAACCGCCAGTATCCCAGAACCCCTCCTTTAAAATGCAGGCATTGTACTTCCCATTTCCAGTACTCATGTCCGGCTATGTAAAAATAACCAGTTTCCCTGAATTCCTTCACTAAATATTACCCTGCTCACACTCCAACATCGCGTCAGGTCTCAAAAACCAATTGTCTCCATTCACTCCTATTTAACCCGTAAACGGTCCAAACGTATATATACGTTTTTTCAACATTTGAAAGTATGTAAAAAAAGTAGATCTTCTTTTTGTTTTTTTACATTTGAAAATGTGTAAAAAAAGCTTTGATCTACTTTTTTTTTGTTACATTTGAAAATATGTAAAAAAAATGTAGATGTACTTTTGTAGCACTACACATGTGAACGTAAATCTGCTTGGACCGTTTACGGGTTAACACAGTGACGCACACATGCTGGAAGTCCAAGCCCCTCGCCCACAAAACCTCCTTTACCCCCTCCCTCCAAACTTTTAGAGGATGACCCCTGCTCTGCTTTCCTTTCCCTACAGATATATATGCTCTCCATGTCATTCTTCTTTGATCCATTCTCTCTAAATGACCAAACCACCTCAACAACCCCTTTTCAGCCCTCTGACTAATACTTTTATTAACTCCACACCTTCTCCTAATTTCCAAACTCCGAATTCTCTGCATAATATTTACACCACACATTGCCCTTGGACAAAAGATCTCCACTGCCTCCAACCACCTCCTCGCTGCAGCATTTACAACCCAAGTTTCACACCCATGTAAGAGTGTTGGTACCACTATACTTTCATACATACATGTTTTGTAATAAGTGTTTGTAATAATTTCAGTAGAATCATCAAGTGTTATTTTACTGGAATTTGGGATTTCATAAATTCATCTATCCATGGTCTATAGACTTATAAATTATACTTAAATAAGCATATTTTGAGTAAAAGCATTTTGATGTACCCAATTGCTCCATTTTTGTGGGAACTAGCTGCTTCTCATTTTGCAGGATATCAAGCATTCCTTAATCAGTCTGTGGGAACAAATGCAGTTAAAGAAGAGTCTCCACAGGCAGCAGCATTTGCAGAAGCAATTTGTGCTCATTTAGGAGGTCGTGGTCTCGGTGGTCCTGTCTTGGACGCAAAGGTAAGATACTGTTGTTCATTTGAAATACAGTATTTTTTTTTATTTTCCACATGGGCAGTCTCCCACCGAGGCAGGGTGACACCCCCCCCCCAACAAAAAAAAAAAAACTTTCATTATTATTCACACATAATCACTGTTTTTGCAGAGGCACATAGATACAACAGTTCAACGGTGGCACTCCAAACTACAAATATCCCAAACCCCTTCCTTAAAGTGCAGGCATTGTACTTTCCACTTCCAGGACTAGAGTCCAGCTAACCAGTTTCCCTGAATCCCTTCACAAAATACATGGATTACCCTGCTCACGCTCCAATAGCTCATCAAGTCCCAAAAACCGTGTGTCTCCATTCACTCCTATCTGACATGCTCACACATGCCTGCTGTATATCCAAGCCCCCTTGCACAGAAAACCTCTTAAAAACCCTGAATCCTTTCCTAGGATGACCCCTACCCCTCCAGTACAGATTTATACACCCTCCATGATGTCCTATTTTACCCCATCCTCACTAAATGAACAAACTTGACACTTTTCAAACTAGGAATTTTCTGCATAATATTTACACTACACCTTATCCTGAATGATGAAAGTTTTTTTTTTCGGGCCACTCTGCCTTGGTGGGAATCGGCCGATGTGTTAATAAAAATAATAAAACCTTGCCCTTAGACACGACATCTCTGCTGCCTTCAGCCTCCTCCTTGCTGCAGCATTTGTAACCCATGCTTCACACGCATGTAAGTGTTGGTACCTATAATCTCATACATTCCCTTCTTTGTCTCCACAGATACCTCGGTGCACCACCCACTCTTCTTTCTTCATCAGTTCTATGATTTACCTTGTCCTTAATAAACCCATCTGCTGATAAGTCTACTCCCAAATATCTGAACACTTTCACTTCTTCCATACTCTCTCCAGTGTGATATCCACTTTTTCTTTACGTAACTCATTTGATACCTTCATCACCTTACTCTTATCTGTGTTGACTTTCGACTTTCTTCTGTTACACACCCTCTCAAACTCGTCCACTAACTATTGTAACTGTGTCGACTCCCATATTGTATTAGATTCCCCCATAATTTATTCCCACCCCTCTCCCCAATATCCTAGCATTTGCTTTTACAACCCTATCTATAAATATGTTAAACAACCATGGTGACATTACACATCCCTGTCTAAGACCTACTTTCACTGGGAAGTAATCTCTCTCTCCCAGCACACCCTAACCTGAGCCTCCTATCCTCATAAACATCTTTACAGCATTTAGTAACTTATTACCTATTCCATATACAGTGGAACCTCGACTTAAGAGTGTCCCAACGTACGAGTTTTTTGAGATACCAGCTGTTCCTTGGTCAGTTATTTTTTTATCTGAGTTATGAGCCAACATTTGAGTTACAAGCCCCCTCACCCTAAAACTTGGACATCTTGCTTGCTTATGCTTTAATTCCATGGAAATCATTCTCTTTTTCTTCTCAGCAGTGTCCTTTACAATTACTTTCTTAGGACCCATACTTAGAAAAACAAAATTTGGCCAAATGACTGTCAAAAATGTAAGCGAAGCATGAGAGAACTGCTCCCACAGCGAGGTAAACAGTGAACTGAGTTGGTGGCGTTCGTTATAATAATAATAATATTTTTAATATAGGGAACTGGAGCACAGATACAATTCCATAGATCAAAGAGCCCCTCACCAGCATCAAGGAACCTTAATTAAACTGGTGAGGGCTCTTGATCTAGGGAATTGATTCTTTGAACTCCAGTTCCTAATTCATAATAATAAAATACTAATAAGTAATTAATTTAATATTTGCATTTTTAAGGCCATTGTTGGTCAATTTCCTTTTTTATAACCATGGGTCCTAGAAAATAAATGCAAAAACAGTTTAAAAAAGATGATTTATTTCATGGATTATACAGGCAGCTTCATTTGCTCAAGATCTTCCCACCTCAAGAGTCCAACCCCCAAACTCAAGATCCAACCCCCACCATTCTAGATCCCCCCCCACCCAATGATCCCCCTCTACCAGGCAATGACCCCCTCAGCCTCAAGATCCACCCCACCCTCAAGATCCTCCCCCACCCTCAAGATCCTACCCCCACCCTCAAGATCCTACCCCCACCCTCAAGATCCTACCCCCACCCTCAAGATCCTACCCCCACCTCAAGATCCTACCCCCACCCTCAAGATCCTACCCCCACCCTCAAATCCCCCCCACCCTCAACATCCTTCCACCCTCAACATCCTCCCCACCCTCAACATCCTTCCCCACCCTCATCCTTCCCCACCCTCAACATCCCCCCCACCCTCAACATCTCCCCCACCCTCAACATCTCCCCCACCCTAAACATCCCCCCCACCCTCAACATCCCCCCCACCCTCAACATCCCCCCACCCTCAACATCCCCCCCACCTCAACATCCCCCCCACCCTCAACATCCCCCCCCACCCTCAACATCCCCCCCCACCCTCAACATCCCCCCACCCTCAACATCCCCCCCATCCTCAACATCCCCCCCACCTTTCAACATCCCCCCCACCTTTCAACATCCCCCCCCCACTTCAACATCCCCCCCCCACTTTCAACATCCCCCCCACCCACTTCAACATCCCCCCCCACTTTCAACATCCCCCCCCCCCACTTCAACATCCCCCCCCACTTCAACATCCCCCCCACTTTCAACATCCTCCCCCCCACTTTCAACATCCATCCCCCCCACTTTCAACATCCATCCCCCCCACTTTCAACATCCATCCCCCCCACTTTCAACATCCATCCCCCCACTTTCAACATCCATCCCCCCCACTTTCAACATCCATCCCCCCACTTTCAACATCCATCCCCCACTTTCAACATCCATCCCCCCCACTTTCAACATCCACCCCACTTTCAACATCCCCACTTTCAACATCCCCCCTACTTTCAACATCCCCCCCACTTTCAACATCCCCCCCACTTTCAACATCCCCCCCACTTTCAACATCCCCCCCACTTTCAACATCCCCCAACATACCTCCACCCTCAACATCCCCCCACCATCTCTGCTCCAAGTGTAAGTACATACACACTTTATATACAGTTTTTATGATATTTATCTATAAATACATTGTTTCAGCGCTTTTCCTTAGAAAACTAGTGATCTACTGCAGTTAGCCTCAAAAATACTCTGAACATGGGAAGATACTAGTCAAATTGGGACAGAAATGGCTGATCCTTCCACCGCTACCTCTGCCACCATATTATGGCCAATTTTATTCATTATAGAGTATATATCATGTTTGTGTGTTAATCATGCTTGTCATAGATGAATTGTGATAGATAAATAATCCGTACAGTTGATAATAGTATCATATTCAAGTATTATTTCTCGTCTCTCCAGGGTCCAGGAACGGATTATTGGCTTTTCAGTTAATTTAAATGAGGAAAATTAATTTGAAATACGAGTAAATCGAGTTATGAGCTAACTCCTGGAACGGATTAAACTCGTGAATCAAGGTTCCACTGTACTTTCAACATCTGTTACATTGCACCCCTGACACCCCATCATATGCCTTTTCTAAATCCATAAATGCAACAAAAACTTCTCTAGCTTTATCTAAATATTGTTCACTTGTATATATTTTTAACATGTTGTCATTGTTCTTTAGACAGTGGATTAAATATCCAGTCTGTAGGGAGAGAGTTGTTTCACATATGAATTCATGGAGCATATTTAGATTTTTTTTAAGTTTTAGATTTTTTTTCTTTTTTTTCAGCCGGACACAAATTTGTCTTTCCAGTCAACAGAGCCTGTGAAGGTGCCAAACGTGCCCAAGCAGATACCTGAAAATGCTGGTGCCATGCATCCTGTCATGGTCCTACATCAGATGAAGCCTGGGCTGCAGTACAATATTACCCGAATGATGCGTGACAGCAAGCCATACTTCAGTGTTTCAGCTGACATTGATGGGAAGGAGTTTACTGGAGAGGGTAGGTTAATAGAAGTTGTCTGCTTTTAGTATTAGTAGAATGGAAGATTTCTGATTTTGTTTAAATTTACCCTTTGAGGGTTTCGGACGTACTAGTACGGCTTACGACCCAGGGTTTTTGACGTACTAGTACGCCTAAATTCTAGCGCCCTCAAATCTAGTGGGAGAAAGCTGGTAGGCCTCCATATGAAAGAATGGGTCTATGTGGTCAGTGTGCACGGTATAAAAAAAAATCCTGCAGCATACAGTGCATAATGAGAAAAAAAAAACTTTGACCGTTTTTTTTTTGGGGGGGGGGGAATAAAACAGCGACTTTGCACTGTATTTTCGTATGGTATTTATTGTTGTATTCTAGTTTTCTTGGTCTCATTTTATAGAATGGAAGGCATATCATAGAAATTGAGATGATTTTGACCGGTTTTACAATGAAAAGTACCTTGAAATTGAGCTCAAAGTAGCAGAAATGTTCGATTTTTACCAAAGTTCAAAAGTAAACAAATCATGCCAAGCGTCTAATACACGTCAACTGGTGAGTCTAATATTCTTTTGCAAGTGCGCCAATATGATTCATACCATTTTTTACACTAATGCAGTAGTCTGCATAACAGTAAATCTTCTATTTTTTGTGAATAAAAATTTAAAGTGGAAAGCAAAAGAATGTAAGAGGGGCCTTGAGACGTGACTAATAAACAGAGGAAATGTCATTTTAGTGCCAGGAATGTATTTCTTGTTTGTTCTGGACCCTATTCGGAAATTGGCATCTTTTGAAATTTGCGTGAAATTGGCAAAATTGTTAAATTCTGACCACTGTACTGGATAGTTGAAATTGGCAAATGGGTGGTTTCTTGCACTCATTCAATAGAAAAAATGGAGTTCTAGCGAAATATTCATGTTTTTTGTCGACTAGTACAGTGGAACTGGCCGAAAATGGGGCTCAAATTGGGCAAAATCGCCGATCCGTAAACATCGCCGAGACCGCTAAATTCGCGAGAGCATAATTCCGTAAGTTTTCCATCAAATTTCATATTTTTGGTGTCATTATGATCGTGAAAAGATTCTCTATCTTTTCATAAGAATTTTTTTTTTTTTTTTTAAATTTGGCCGACCCTGAGAACGAGTCTCGGAGAGGGCCTATCGACCCTCAAAAGGTTAGAGTTTTAACATAAGAAAGGAGGAACACTGCAGCAGGCCTGTTGGCCCATACTAGGCAGGTCCTTTACAATTCATCCCACTAACAAACATTTGACCAACCCAATTTTCAATGCCACCCAAGAAACAAGCTCCGATGTGCAAGTCCCACTCGAATCCAACCCCTCCCACTCATGTACTTATCCAACCTAAATTTGAAACTACTCAAAGTCCTAGCCTCAATAACCCAACTAGGTAGACTGTTCCACTCATCAACTACCCTATTTCCAAACCAATACTTTCCTATGTCCTTTCTAAATCTAAACTTATCTAATTTAAATCCATTACTGCGGGTTCTCTCTTGGAGAGATATCCTCAAGACCTTGTTAATATCCCCTTTATTAATACCTATCTTCCACTTATACACTTCGATCAGGTCTCCCCTCATTCTTGGTCTAACAAGTGAATGTAACTTTCAAGTCTTCAATCTTTCTTCATAAGGAAGATTTCTAATGCTATGTATTAATTTAGTCATCCTACGCTGAATGTTTTCTAACGAATTTATGTCCATTCTGTAATATGGAGACCAGGATTGAGCTGCATAATCTAGGTGAGGCCTTACTAATGATGTATAAAGCTGCAGTATGACCTCTGGACTTCTGTTGCTTACACTTCTTGATATAAATCCCAGTAATCTATTTGCCTTATTACGTACGCTTAGGCATTGCTGTCTTGGTTTAAGGTTGCTGCTTACCATAACCCCCAAGTCCTTTTCGCAATCTGTATGGCTAAGTTCTACATCATTTAACTTATAAGTACTAGGGTTATGAACACTCCTGAGCTTCAGAACCTTGCATTTATCTACATTGAACTGCATCTGCCACTTTTCTGACCAAGAGTAGAGTTTGTTTAAATCCTCCTGAAGTTCCCTAACATCTACGTTTGAATCAATTATCCTACCTATCTTCGTGTCATCGGCGAATTTGCTCATATCACTAGTAATTCCTTCATCAAGATCATTGATATATATTATAAACAACAATGGGCCCAAGACTGATCCCTGTGGAACGCCACTTGTTACTGATCCCCACTCGGATTTAACCCCATTTATGGACACTCTCTGCTTCCTGACTGTGAGCCATGATTCGATCCACGAGAGCACTCTTCCCCCAATGCCATGAGCTGCTACTTTCTTCAACAGTCTTTGGTGCGGAACTCTATCAAATGCCTTACTAAAATCTAAGTAAATAATATCAAATTCCTTATCGTGGTCAACAGCCTCAAAAGCTTTACTGAAGAAAGTTAATAAATTAGTTAGACAAGACTGGCCTCTTGTGAATCCATGCTGAGTATCATTAATCAAGCTATGCTTATCAAGATGGCTTCTTATAATTTGAGCAATAATTGACTCTAGTAATTTGCCTACAATTGAGGTCAGGCTTATTGGGCGGTAATTTGACGGTAACAACTTGTCCCGTTTTAAAAATAGGAATTACATTAGCCATCTTCCACATATCAGACACTACACCTGTTTGAAGAGATAAATTAAAAATATTAGTTAATGGTTCACAGACTTCCATTTTGCATTCCTTCAGAACCCTTGAAAAAAACCTCATCAGGACCCGGTGACTTATTTTGCTTCAGTTGGTCTATCTGCTTCACAACCATTTCACTAGTGACTGTGATGTTACATAATGTATCTTCTTCTGGCCCACTTTAAAAATTAATTACTGGAATATTATTAGTGTCTTCCTGTGTAAAAACCGAGAGAAAATAATTATTTAAAATCGAGCACATTTCATTCTCTTTGTCAGTAAGATGCCCATAGTTATTTTTAAGGGGACCTATCTTATCTCTGACTTTTGTTCTATATACCTGGAAAAAACTTTTTGGGTTAGTTTTAGAATCCCTAGCAACTTTAATTTCATAGTCCCTTTTAGCTTTTCTTATCCCCTTTTTAATGTCCCTCTTAATGTCAATGTACTGATTCATAAGATGACCCTCGCCTCTTTTGATACGCCTATAAATTCCTTTCTATAAATGCCTTAGCATTAGTTCCGATTAACTTGCTATGTATAGCACTGACAAAGTATTACTGTACCCATGAATTGAGTATGCATGTCAAAAAAACATTACATACTTAATGTCTTACTGTATTTACTATAAATAAGGTTGTGTAGAAATGTGAAGTGGGGCAAGTGGTGGTGGTGCATGGGATGTCCCAGCTACAGTTAAAGGGAGGATGTACAGGAAGTTGTGGGTGTTAGGTGCATAAGTCTCATAAGTGAGCAGAGATAAGTGACTTTTGGAATTCAGCTTTGTGTTAATGTGAGCAGGGTAGCATTTAGGATTGGATTTGGGGAAAATACTGGTTAGTCAGACTTCAGCTCTAGAGAACTAAAAGGCACATTACTGTGACTGGAACAATACACACAACCTGCATGTAGGAGAGAGGAGCTTACAATTACATTTTGGTCCAACTTGGACCATTTACAAAGTCACAGTAGTGTGACTGTAAATGGTTCAAGTTGAACTGAAATGTCATCGAAGGCAGGTTGTGTGTTTAAATCTGGATGTTGAGAATACAGTACCTACACAGAGTGTAGGTGCTATACTCTCAAGTGTGAGTGAAGAGGTTATTTGAATAGTGAAATCTTCACAATTTTTGTGCTTTGATGGTGGTAAGGGACTCAGTAATTTACCTTGAGCTACCCTGCCTTTCCTTATAATGATACAGCCTGATAACCCTCTACCCTCTCCTATTTTCCAGCAGTGGCATGCAGTTTTAGGTTTAACCCCTTCAGGGTCCAAGGCCCAAATCTGAAGTGGTGCCCCAGTGTCCACAAGAATTTTCAAAAAAAATTTTTTTTTATTTTTTATTATGAAATGGTAGAGAATCTTTTTGTGAAGGTAATAAAATAAAAAGTACGAAATTTGATGGAAAATTGAGGAAATTATGCTCTCGCGAATTTTGATGTGTCAGCGATATTTACGAATCAGCTATTTTGCCGACTTTGACTCCCATTTTAGGCCAATTACATTATTCCAGTCAACCAAATTCTTAGCTATTTCACTAGTATTACTTCTATTCTATCGATTGAGCACAAGAAATCACCAAGTCAACTGTTTCAACTACAAATTAAAGTGATCGGAAATTGTTAATTTGGCCAATTTAACACAAAGTTCAAAATATTCCAATTTCAAAATAGGGTCCAGAATAAACAATGTAGGTATTCCTGGAACTAAACTAACATTTCCTCTGTTCATTAGTTACGTTTTGAGGCTTTACAAATAAATTCCATTTTGATTTTTTATTCACAATGAATTTTTATTCACACCAAAAAATAGAAGATTTACTGTTATGCAATACTGTAATAATTGTATAAATATCATCACCATATTTATGAATGCATATTAGACCCACCAGCTGGCGTGTATTAGACGTGTGAGGTCGTTTGTTTACTCTTGAATATCGGCAAAAATTTAACATTTCTGCTACTTTGAGCTCAGTTTCAAGCCATTTCCAGTGTGAAAACCAATCAAAATCATCTCTATTTCTGTAATATGTCTTCCATTCTATCAAATGAGACCAAGAAATCGCAAATAGAACTATTAAAAAACAGGAAAAACACTGCGAAGTCGCTGTTTTAATCGAAAAAATCATGATTTCTCATTATACACAGCGTGCTGCAGGATCTGTTTTATGTGGTGCACACATACCACATAGATGTATTCTCTCATATCTAGGCCCAAATGTACCACTCACAGTTTATCAGAGTGAGCTGAGCTCATGACATAAATCTACGGTTTGGACACTGAACGTAAAGCCGTAGATCTACGGGACGGACCCTCAAAGGGTTAACATTCCCCATCAACTTAAAATTACTGAATGAATGATGGACGAGTTTGGTAGGAAATGCATGATGTACAGAAAATGTGAAATCCGTGTTGTTAAAATTGCAAAGAATGATAGGTTGGGAGGGTGTATAAGAGAATGAAGTTGAAAGTGAACTCAGAAAGGAGGAAAGAGAACAGAGGAAATTAATCTTTTGATATTTGGTTGCAGATGTATGGGCAGAGGTCTATGAAAAATTTGGTTAATTACAGGACAGAGACGAAAAGGAAACTCGTGAAGTTGAGGCATTGGTTGAAAAAGGTTGTTAATGAATGGATAAAAAAAAAAGGGAGGAGGGTATATTTATCATAATATGTTGGTACTAACACTTGGATGTGTGGCATGGAATTTGAATGTTTTGTTTTTTAAGGACATGCCTGTGAAATTTCCATAGCAAGGATAATTAAATTGAATTTGGAAAATATTATATTTCAAACAGTAATGTAATTGCAGCATTCAGAAGTTTTTAGCATTTGGCAAACCCTGAACTTGTATTAGCTCATGGTGGGGGAATGTTTTAATGTTACTTCATATAAATGTATGATTTAAATGCAAGTATTTCAATGTTTTTATTTCTTTTTTTCAGGCCCAAATGTAAAAAAAGCAAAGTTCTCCCTGGCCACAGAAGCAATCTTAGGGTTATATGGTGTAGAGTCCACTTTTGAAACTCCAGCCTGAAATGGTAACACGAATAAGAGTGAGGGTTTACCTCTGTCATTGCTAATTTACTTGTACAATAAGATTACCAAAGTTAAATGATATTTGTCAGGCAGTTTTGTCTCATACTTCTTCAAGCATAGGAATTTGCTAGGTAGTACCTGACTTTTCAACCTCAACACAACATAGGTATTATAAACCATTTGTATCTGGGTTAAGTATTGTAATTAATATTGTAATAAACCCTTTAATTAATCTCTTTGGATATTAGCATTTTTTGTTAAAAGACTTAAAAATATTGTACTAGCTTATGAGATATGGTTACCATTCTTATGCAGGTTCATAAACTAATATATAGTTTAAATTAAATGATATTTTTGACTTATTCTCTGAGTGATATATGTTTGACATAGAATGCAATATTTTAATCAGTATAGTTTCTGTATTGTTTCAATTGTATGGAAAAAAATTATAATCAAAGAAATAAAACTGATTATTATTTCACTTTCAGACCTAATAGTATCTACAGTAGTTGAAAAGACATTAAAACAAACCTAATGTTCATATTTTTTTTTTCAATAAGTCTCACACCGAGGCAGGGTGACCCAAAAAATAAAATCCCCAAAAAGAAAATACTTTCATCATACAATGCTTTCACCTCACTAACACATAATCACTGTCTTTGCAGAGGTGCCCAGATACAACAGTTCAGAAGCATATATAACATACCCCTCCAAACTACCAATATCCTAAACCCCTCCTTTAAAGTGCAGGCATTGTACTTCCCATTTCCAGTACTCAAGTCTGGCTATATACAAATAACCTGTTTCCCTGAATCCCTTCATTAAATATTACCCTGTTCACACTCCAACAGGTCATCAGGTCCCAAAAACCATTCATCTCCATTCACTCCTATCTAACACGCTCACACATGCTTGCTGGAAGTCCAAGCTCCTCGCCCACTAAACCTTTACCCCCCCCCCCCCTCCAACCTTATTCTCTCTATATTAAAGACTACATATGTCTTGGGTGTTTATAATTTGTAACAGACATTTCATACGACCCTTTTAGTTATGTGCTTTTTTTTTTTTTAATGTTAAAAACCAAAGGTTTATTTCGTTATTTGTCTGGAATACCTTTTTTTTTTTTTTTTTTTTTTTTTTTTTTTTTTTTTTTTTTTTTTTTTTTTTTTTTTTTTGGTCGCTCAAAAACAGTTCCTTCATGTTGATGAACTCTGATCCAAGAAATTGGACTTGTTCTTTCCTTCCTGGGCTTGAACCCGATTCTCATATTCCATAGGTGCTGTAGACTCCTGCCATTTTTTCTTTCGCCTGCTGCTGTTAATAATTGGAGGGCAATTGCACACTTAGTGCTCCTGTCTAAACATGCAGTTTAGCTAAGCCTTGTTCTGACTGTTCTAAAGGAAGCATCCTGGTATTCACAAGGTAGAAAAGAGACTTTTTCCATGGAGTTACCAATTCTGATAATGAAGCTTTTATACTTTCTTCCTCACTTTCTAAGAAACCCAGCAGCTGTAAACCTTTTTTCCATACAGTATTTGAAAATAAAACAAGAGAATTTTTTTTCCCCCCTCAGCCAACAAACTCGGTGGATTACCTTACAGATCTACACTGGCGAGAGACTCTTGATCTAAAGAATAAAATCTGTGCTCGAGTTCCCTGAATTGAGCCTGAATACCTTCCATCCCCCCTTCCCTACAGGCGCTCTATAATCCCTACGGATTTAACACCCCCGTAATTATAATTACAGATCAGAGTACATCCTCTCTTTGCTATACGATGGAGTTCCGTTCCTAAGACCTCATCGTTAAATAACTTCATCGCTAAGTGAGGAGCATACTATAATGGTAATGAGTTTGTGTCAGCCATCTTTGATATTGTTTTAATGTCACCTTTGCACCACTTAAAATGTTTCTGGTATATTTTTAAATGTTTATGCAGTAGTGTACTGTATATTGGAATAAAGAGAATAGAGGAAATCAGCTCTTAATATACATTATTTAGGTATGAATACTGGTCAGAGAGCCCGTCGTAAGTCCGAGGCATTGGTAAACAAGTACAGTGAAACCTCCACTTGCGAGCGCATCCACGTGCGAGTTTAAATGTACAAAAATAAAAGAAATCAGACCATAAATAATGGAGTTCACTTCTCAGCCATTACCCACCCCTTAGTGGTATTTTTGTATGGTTTTTATGGTTGCATTCTCGTTTTTTTTGGTCTCATTTGATAGAATGGAAGATGTATTACAGAAATGTGATTTTGATTGGTTTCACGACAAAAATATCTTTAAGTTGAGCTGAAAGTAGCAGAAATGCTAGATTCTTTGGCGACGTTCAAGAGTAAACAAATGAGGTCGTTGTCCATTCCAGTACGCAGTCATAATTAGGTTGGCATTATTTATACAATTATTACAATAATGCAGTAGTCTGCATAACAGAATCTTCTATTTTTTGTATGAATAAAAATTACAAATTATTTATTATTTATTTATATAGTTAAAAAAAAAGGGGGCTAGTAACCCCTTTTCTTGTAATAATAAGTGGGAAATCTGAATATAACTGGTTTGTTCGGTAGGTGCTGCAAGCAGGTGGTTAATGATACGTCTTCGGAGGCTTCTTTGTTTATTAATAATGTCGTAGTGGGTACACAGGCTTGTGTGTTGTGCCCATGGCCCGGGAGGGCCATGCCCACGAGAGAGAGCTGGGAGTACTTGTGTCTTGCTGCTAGGCCGCTGTGTGAGTGAGGCGGAGGCATGGGCCGGCAGACTGGCGTTCCTACCTAGAGGCCTGGCTACAGAGGGCAGCACCTGAGTGGCGCGAAATATGAACTAAGCTGGCAGACAGCATGGGCTGTCTGTGGAGACAGTACAGGCTGTACAGCTACATGAATGTGCGTGGATGTTGTGTGAATGATAAGAAAGAGATGATTGTGGATGTTATGAATGAGAAGAAGTTGGATGTCCTGGCTTTAAGTGAAACAAAGCTGAAGGGGGTGGGTGAGTTTCAGTGGAGAGGAATAAATGGGATTAGGTCAGGGGTTTCTAATAGACTTGGAGCTAAAGGAGGAGTAGCAATAATGTTGAAGGATAAACTATGGCAGGAAAAGAGGGCTATAAATATATTAATTCAAGGATTATGTGGAGTAAAATAAAGGTTGGATATGAGAAGTGGGTTATAGTAAGCATATATGCACCTTGGGAAGAGAGAAGTATAGAGAGAGAGAGAGATTTTGGGAAATGTTGAGTGAATGCATTGGGAGTTTTGAACCAAGTGTGAGAGTACTTGTGGTTGGGGATTTTAATGCTAAAGTGGGTAAAAATGTTGTGGAGGGAGTAGTAGGTAAATTTGAGGTGCCAGGGGTAAATGAAAATGGGGAGCCTTTAATTGAGCTATGTGTAGAAAGAGGTTTGGTAATAAGTAATACATATTTTATGAAAAAGAGGATAAACAAATATACAAGGTATGATGTAGCACGTAATGAAAGTAGTTTTAGATTATGTATTGATGGATAAAAGGTTGGTGGGTAGGCTCCAGGATGTACACGTTTATAGAGGGGCAACTGATATATCGGATCATTATCTAGTTGTAGCTACTGTTAGAGTAAGAGGTAGATGGGACATGAGATTGTGTCATCCAATTACCTTCAAAATTTTTTAACACCAAAGTATCGAATTATGATCAAATTCTAAGAATTAGCATGTTCGCATGTCCTGTGACCAAAGTTATTGAACCCATTTCCAGCATCGAGGAATCACTCGGATAAGTTCCAAAATCTCAGTGGATGAGCTTTGAACATTCACGAATGGTTCCAAAACATACAGCGATGACAAATTAAAATGTGTATAGTTTTGTGTAAAATATTATTACAATAAAAAATAAGCACTAAACCTACAAGGTCATACAGCATTGCTTGTGTAAAATAGTAGGACATTTTTATTCCTGTTAAATCACATTAAATAAATTTCAGGTTAATTTTCAGGTTACCAGGACATTATTATAATCAAAACTAAGAGCTATACCCACCAGTGTGCTGCAGGCCAAGACAGTACTTGTTAAGTTCCATTTTTGTGTATGCAAATTTGATGTAAAATATTACAATAAAACCTGGAATCGTTGGAATCTGTGCTATAACTGGAGAATGACTACACGCTCGGCTTCACATTTTCACACATGGTGTGGCCCACCACTGTCAGAATGGTCCTCTTCAAGGGGGGGCTCCTTGGCGTGGTGAAGAGGCTCTTGGTCTCCTTCCTCAGATCGAACCTAATTACCTCCCAAATCCCCCCTTCCCTATCCCGTCCTCCCCTTTTTTCTTTCCTCCTCCTCCCCACCCCTCCCTTTGCCCTTCCTCTTTTAACATAAACATAAGAACATAAGAAAGGAGGAACACTGCAGGAGGCCTGCTGGCCCATACTAGGCAGGTCCTTTACAATTCATCCCACTAACAAAACATTTACCCAACCCGATTTTCAATGCTACCCAAGAAATAAGCTCTGATGTGAAAGTCCCACTCAAATCCAACCCTTCCCACTCATGTACTTATCCAACCTAGATTTGAAACTACCCAAAGTCCTAGCCTCAATAACCCAACTAGGTAGACTGTTCCACTCATCAACTACCCTATTTCCAAACCAATACTTTCCTATGTCCTTTCTAAATCTAAACTTATCTAATTTAAAATCCATTATGCGGGTTCTCTCTTGGAGAGACATCCTCAAGACCTTATTAATATCCCCTTTATTAATACCTATCTTCCACTTATACACTTCGATCAGGTCTCCCTCATTCTTCGTCTAACAAGTGAATGTAACTTAAGAGTCTTCAATCTTTCTTCATAAGGAAGATTTCTGATGCTATGTATTAATTTAGTCATCCTACGCTGAATGTTTTCTAACGAATTTATGTCCATTTTGTAATACGGAGACCAGAACTGAGCTGCATAATCAAGGTGAGGCCTTACTAATGATGTATAAAGCTGCAGTATGACCTCTGGACTTCTGTTGCTTACACTTCTTGATATAAATCCCAGTAATCTATTTGCCTTATTACGTACGCTTAGGCATTGCTGTCTTGGTTTAAGGTTGCTGCTCACCATAACCCCCAAGTCCTTTTCGCAATCTGTATGGCTAAGTTCTACATCATTTAATTTATAAGTACTAGGGTTATGGGCACTCCCAAGCTTCAGAACCTTGCACTTATCTACATTGAACTGCAATCTGCCACTTTTCTGACCAAGAATAGAGTTTGTTTAAATCCTCCTGAAGTTCCCTAACATCTACGTTTGAATCAATTATCCTACCTATCTTTGTGTCATCGGCGAATTTGCTCATATCACTAGTAATTCCCTCATCAAGATCATTGATATATATTATAAACAACAACGGGCCCAAGACTGATCCCTGTGGAACGCCACTTGTTACAGATCCCCACTCGGATTTAACCCCATTTATGGACACTCTCTGCTTCCTG